TAGACCGGAAACGCAAGTTTGTGCGTCAAGTTTCGCAGTTCACTGCCTTGCAAAGTACAAGATTGGTGAACTCTGACCTGCGAAATCACATCACTTGACTGTGTAAGACCAATCGTAGATCAAAACACGAACTCTATGGGCAGAAATTTAAAATATGGACCAATCGCTAGGGTTGGGTATCATTTGGGTTTGTTTCGATACCGGTGCTAAATCGATACTTTTAAAATAATACTGGTGCCAAAACGGAGCCTGAACCAATACCCTTAAGCCACATTTATGGTGACTCTAGAAATCTTTTTTATTTGACACTCTTTTAAAATAATTTTAACGAACAGTATAATTAAAGTTTAAAGTGAACGTCATTTTATAATTTATATATTTGAATTGGATTAATGTATTTCCTTTTGAATATTTGCAGGCAGGGGTCACTTGTACTTTTGGGGGCACATTTTAACATATATCACAACATGCTTTAAAAAATATTTAAAGTCATTTTTTCATGCATCACTCTGCAGTCTTCAGAAACGATGATTAAATAACTTAAACTCAAAATAATCTTCCTTTATAATTTATTTGACAACTAACTTTGTACTGGTGTACAAATACCTTAATAAACACATGAAGACCCACACTGGAGAGAAACCATACACATGAACTCAGTGTCGGAAGAGTTTCATCCAATCAGCAAACCTTAATGAACTCATGAAGATCCACACTGGTGTGAAAAACGATATATGCTTAAGTGTGAGAAGACTTTTGTTACAGTACCAAAATTGAAACTGCACCAGACAATTCACACTGAAGAGAACGTACAAGTGTTCACACTGTGACAAGAGGTTTAATCAGTTAACCCATCTGCAAACAGAAAAGAGGATTCACACTGGAGAGAAACCGTACTGATCTGATCAGTGTCTACAGTGTTTTGCTCATTTGGCGCAGCTTAAGAAACACTTGAACAAAAAGTTGCACACATGACATGAATGTAGCACAACATTTTCTCATGTGCACAGGATGTTTCATGTCTGAATAATGTTTGAAAAGGCTGAGTGACGATATACTGTTTTCCAACACTCCTACACTGCAGTAGGTGGGGTTGTAAATGTGTTTCGCTTCTCGCGTTAACCGTAAACACAGTAATGGTGAATGAGAGAAGAACAGTTTCAAAAACATCTGGCAAACAGCACCTCTGTGGCTTAAAATCTCTTTGCAAGTGATTGTACTGGTGCGGATACATCTGTACTCTACTCTCCAGTGTATTCATGTGGCTCAGGGGTGCTCAATCCTGTTCCTGGAGATCTACCTTCCTGTACAGTTTAGCTCCTACCCTGATCAAACCCACCTGAACCAATTAATTAGGACCTGAAATCCACTTGATAATTACAGACAGGTGTGTTTGATAAGGGTTGCAACTGAAATCTGCAGGAAGGTAGATCTCCAGGAACAGGATTGGCCACCCCTGATGTAGCTACTGTTGTTTTGGATGGTGTTCTCTGTCTGACTCCCTGAATGAGAAACAAATCACTGGGAAGACACCGCACATCAAAGAGGGTGGAGCTCCAGGACGTTTAGTTTGCAGTATACCAGGGCCTCAAGTTTAGAATGCCCATTCAATTGTCCTGTGTTGCAGCTTTTATTAGTGAAGTTTCTTCACTCTTAAGTTCAAGATTCTTTCTAGTTTACTATATTAACTTTTTTAAGTAGAATACAAACTTAATAAATATTTTATTTAGGCAGAGCGACAGGTATTAAGTTTACAATATTAATACACTGTGATGATCCCAAGACTCCAGATTGGAGTATGTGGTAAATCCTGATTGGATGCCTGCATTACTCATCATTGGGTATATAAAAGTTGTTGTGTTAGCTACCCCAGGATGCTTGTGGCTACTCAGGAGTCCTCATAGCAAGACCTGCCATCTCATTGACTCTTTAACCTTATGGTTTTGTTTTGCATCACTTATATTATGTAGTTAAAGTGTTGTTGTTGGGCTGGACAATAATTAGGTATCAATAAATATTGCGATAGTTTTTTTTTTTAATAACGATGATATGAGTTTTAAACCCATTTCCGGTCTTTCGATATACATTTGCATACGTATTTTTTATTATATATATATATATATATATATATATATATATATATATATATATATATACATATATATATATATAAGATATTTGACCTTGTATCATTTGTAACTAAATGACTTTCTGTGGTCAAAATGAGCGTGATGTCACTTGCGTGATGACGTACATCATAGACACGCACACTGCCACTGCCAGCGCTCAAAAGTTGGTTAAGCTACTCTGTCGCAGAAAGCTACAAAATGTGTGCCCTGAATACAGATATAGGGGAACAAGCTTCCACAAGTAAGAATGCAGACGAATTAGTTGATGAGAGAGGACAGACGAATGTATTGGTGTGAAAGTTGTTTGGCTCTTTAAGTTCAGATAAACTTATAGTTTCGGTGCTCTGCAAAATGTGCGGGAAAGTGGTGCCGACTAGCATCGGGAACGCATCAAATCTGTTCCGCCTGATAGAACATACTGGGAGTCAGAAGCAATGATAGAAGCTGAGGCATCATAAAAGTTTAAGTCAACCTGTCACCTCACCATCCACCTTCCCGGCACCAAACACAGATGGCCATGAGGCGCTCTGTAGGATTTAAATAAAGGTGCATATACACCTATAAATTACTCTCATATAAACCTATCCTATGTTCAAAACATGTATAAAACTTGCGTATATACATATAAACTTGATGCATGCATACACATGCACAGACATATAAACTCGATCCGATACTTGATCCTCGCATAAACACCCAAATTAACACACACACACACACAAACTCGCTGCATGCAGGTATAGCACTTGAGCAAACTTACAAAATAAAATTCACAAACATATTTTTCTGGAATCTGGTTATTGCAAAGCTTATGAAATAGAAAGAATGTGATTAATAGAGGTAAATAACATGGTAAATAGTGAAAATGTGTTGCATAAAATATTAGTCTATATAAAATATATAACTATTTATGTTAAACCTTTTACTTTAATTAGGTAATTACATACACAAATATAAATAGTCAGATAGAACCCTTAAAGGACGTTTAGGATGAAAAGCAACCAGAACTATGAATATACTCCAACAACTATTTTGCAAATATTAATGTAGCCTCTTTTTCATTTGTTTTATTAATATAATTATTATTCTTTTTCTGTTTTTTTTTTTTTTACGGTGTGGATTTTGGTATTATTTTGATTGTTAAATATTCAGCATGTACAAAAAAAAAAAACTGATAAAAGTTTTTGTCCTTCACGTTGGTCAAGCTAACCCCCATGAGCTATGTCCATCTCTCTCTTTCTCTCTCTCTCTCTCTTTCTTTCTCTCTCTCTCTCTCTCTCTCTCTCTCTCTCTATATATATATATATATATATATATATATATATATATATATATATATAATATTTATTAAAATAAGAGGGGGGTCACCTAACATCTTTAAGAATAGAAATATATACAGTTAAAGTCAGAATTACTAGCCCCCCCTGAATTATTAGACTACTTGTTTATTTTTCCCCCAATTTCTGTTTAACGGAGAGCAATTTTTTTCAACACATTTATAAACATAATAGTTTTAAAAACTCATTTCTAATAATGGATTTTTTTATCTTTCCCATGATGACAGTATATAATATTTTACTAGATATTTTAAAACACTTCTATACAGCTTAAAGTGACATTTAAAGGCTTACCTAGATTAATTAGGGTAACTAGGCAGGTTGGGGTAATTAGACAAATTATTGTATAACAATGGTTTGTTCTGTAGACATTCGAGAGAAAAAAATAGCTTAAAGGGGCTAATAATTTTGTGCCTAAAATAGTGTTTAAAAATTTAAAACTGCTTTTATTCTAGCAGAAATAAAACAAATAAGACTTTCTCCAGAAGAAAAAAATATTATCAGACATACTGTGAAAATTTCCTTGCTCTGTTTAAAAAAAGAAGAAAAAAATTTGAAGGGGGCAAATAATTCTGACTTAAACTGTATATATATATATATATATATATATATATATATATATATATATATATATATATATATATATATATATATATATATATATTGGGGTATACTGATTTTTTTTTAAATTTGTTGAAATTATAGATTTTTTTTGTATTATTTTGTTAGATTAGTTATATGCTGTTTAGCTTTGGTACTGAAAAATGTAACAAATGTACACATATCTTTACTGCTAGTTTGTTAGAACACCACGAAATAAGGTTGACAAGCCCACCCATCAAATGTAGGTTAAATTTAGCAGTGGTGTACAGCACAAACACAAAAACTAGGTAACTTTAATACCACTTAATTCACTCTGTCATCCTTCAGCCTCAAAAAAAAAAAAAGTTATTTAATGCTATCAAGTAACAGTGTGGTGTGAGTGCAGATGCAAAGAAATATAATGATCATGGGGGGTGGGGGGTTAGGACGATTCATAAGGGCCCATCTTGTCAGAGGGCTGGTGGTGGCCAGCGGCGCCACTGATCACAATGCTTTCATGCTTTTGTGTGATGTATAGAATTGTTTAAGACATTTTTAAGATCTATAAGTTATTTGTGTATATACACAGTCTACAAATTAATTAAGGTTTCAGTGCAAAAATCAATACAACCTAATGTATGTGTAAGGGAAAAATAAAAATAAATTCTATTTAAATAATGAACAAAAAATAGAAATAACATATTACTTTTAGAAATATGGAAGTTTTATTTTTAAATTCACCTCATTAGTATTTAAATGTAGTGAAAGTATTAATTAAAAAAGGGATCTGTATGGGATGTACTCATTTATGCTGGGCAATGTATATAGTTTATGACTGTTGAGAGAGTCAAGAGATAAGTTGAGAGATGGGCGATTGCAAGGGGTTGACAAAGTTCTGGTGTGTAGTTGGATAAAGTTTAAATTCTATATTTTTTTCATTTGTGTGTATTAGAGGTACAGCAACAAATCTTCTCCCATGGGATATGAGGAAAACTTTCCATTCCACCAGTTCAATGCTGCAGTGCTGTGTTGTGTCCAAGAGGCCATCCACCAAGCAAATCCCAAATGTAGAGGAAGATGTGGGGTAGTCAAAGAAGGGGCCTTGATGTGCAAATGTGGAGTAGACCAAGTACACCTCCTCTTTTTCAGCAATTATATTTCTGATCTTCGCCACCTTTCCCTGAATATAGACATTGCTGTTGGCTTCGTCCAGTTTGAGGGTGAAGGGCTCTGTGGTGTATTGGCTGTACTGTTGTGACACTGAAACAATGATGGTAATTTTCCAGACATGTGTTTTTTTCTTACACCCAAACTTTCCTCTTTTTCCATTTGGATTGCCTCTCGCTCTGCAAGCCTCTTTACAATTTGGCAGCATGGAAATTCTGGTTTCCTAACAAGCCTTTTCAGTTTTTGCACGTAATTTTCAAATTTGAAAGCACTAAAGGAATCCAGATTTCCATGAACCTTCACATCTTGTGCAAGGTGCACAAGGTTGTGCACATTGTAGGAGATGTGCATGTGTCCATACAGCTTTCCAAAGTGGTGAACAAACAACACAAGTGCATCATTTGCATAGTCTGTTAACTCAAGCAGTGCTTTGTTCGACAGTATGAACACTCCCGTAAACAGCAGTAGGAAATGTTGATATAAAGCTGTGTGTAGGAAGTCTTTTAGGAGCACAGGACCGGTGTAAAGAAGGAACTGGCGGAGTTCAGAGGCTTTCCATCAGCCTACCTCATTCAAAGATCTTGGTCTTCGTGCAAACTCAACTGGCACATTTTTTCTGATCTTTGACAGCTTTTCAGAAAGCATATCCACCTGCAAACCTGAGAGCCTGCAAACCAGTTGACCCTTGAGCCACAGGTACAAGAGTCACCTCATCACCCCCAAACAGACAAGGTCTAAACAGATGGCTAGAAGAGGAGAATATCCTAGATGATGTTCTTCATCTATCATTTCCCGAAAATCTTCATCAGTGCGAACGGGGGCATTTGTTTCAGGGAATATCACCCTATTGCTCAAATATTTGCCTTCCTGCGTACATTTCTCACACCCCGAGTAGCCTGTGTGCCCTTTTATATTTTTCAAAAAAGCTCGGGCGGGAGCATCACAGACCATTGAGCACAGTTTGAGCCTCATTGATATTCCCTGAAATGAAAATCCTTTCTCCAACATTAAAGTTTCAGCCACAAAATCTTCCAGGTATTCGGGAAGGCTTGCTGGCTTGCTAGTGCCACAGAAAAGCCCAATTACAAATGGGTGATGCAGAGGGAGATTTTTGATGACTCCAAGAATGGGCCAGAATTGGGTGGATGAACTTTTAAATACTGGCAACCCATCCACATTTGCTTGGAGCTCTAAGCATAACCCATTAGCCAATCCACATTTGTTTGCCTCCAAAGTGCTCTTCATTGAATTCAGGATACCAAAATAATGGTATGTCCCACCAGCCTTTTCCTGGACCACCACTGACTCTGACCGAGAAGTCCTTAGAAGAGTCCTTGCATCAGATGGCAATGATGGATGATGCTCCTTCAGAATTTCTAATAATTTATTAATTGCACTGTGTGTTGTTTTCTTTGGAGTGCCCATGTTGCAAGTTTGCTTTGTTGATGAGCTTCCTCTTCCTCACCAGAGCTGCTGTTTTCAGACTGTGAAAAATCTAGCTCCTTATGCAAAGATGATTCATAGTCTTTGAAGTCCTCATCTAGATGTTCGGAATTGTAATTTGGTAGACTCTCAGCATTAAAGGAATTATCAGAAGCACACTGAACTGACTTCAGTTGATGTTTTACCCTTTCTCTAGATTTGCGTTTTAAAGTGCAGTAAGAGGGTGTATTTGCCATACTTAAGAGACACACATGAAACAAAAGAAATACAAGACAAAGAAAACAAAGGACACAACAAGAAATGACCATGAGTAACACACACTGACTTTCCTATGCTAGGGTTAGCTTACATAAATTGCTTCTACATTGTTCATATGCAGACAATGCCTGTTTGAACTGTTTCAAACATTAAAGTTTTAGTACTTAATATTAAGCAAGAGTTCTTCAACTCTTTATTTTGTGGCAAGGTCCCCTACACTCTTACAGGCTCAACCTAAATATTATTTCTCAATACAACACGGTTATAAACAACTGCTAATCATCTGTGACATACTTTTCTTTAAGGACAGTGTTAATAACTTTGACATGATGTCTTTGTTATTGCATCTTTTCTACAATATGATTATATTGTGTGTGTATATACTTTCTCTCTTTCTCTCTCTCTCTCTCCTCTATTATATGCATAATTGATATTTTTAGTATTTATGGTATAAAGTGTTCAGTGTAAAACCAGAAGTCTTTTATTTTAAATTAATTACCATTACAGATATAAAAAGACACGGAAAGATCGCACATGATCACGGCGTCCCAGCTGTGCGGTCTACTACGGACTAAAGGTTTAGCTTCTGGTTTGATTGGAGAACAAGGTACTGACACTTCGTTTAATATGTTTGTTTGTTTGTATTGAGTTTGTATATTGAGTTTAAGTGATGTCTGTTTGTTTGTATATGGTTTTCATATTTGCTTACATTTGGTTTCATTTTCTCTTTGTATACAAGCTCTTACGGTGTTTGCCGTACGGTGCAAGGTGTACGGTGTTTGCCGTACAGTGTTTGGCCTGTGGTATATGGTGTTTGATGTTGACGACGGCGTCAGTAAAGTTAATGCTGCACTGAAATAAATCATGGGAAGACACCAGTGAAAGTCAATCCTTTATTGAACCAGGGAGCTACAATAAGAGCTTGCCACCATTGGGTCGCTGCGCTGCTTGAGTGAGTGCTACGGACGGCAATTAAAAGGACTTCTGGCATCGGCGCGCTCGTTGGAAACGGTGTGATTGCTCGCTACGGATCAAGATAAAGCAGACTTTAAACGGACGGAGCTACAAGGCTACACACAGCTGCACGGACTGATCTAATGGACTTCACGCAGGCCCGGATTAAGAAGTCATAGGCCCCTGGGCACAATGTCTTGTAGGGCCCCCTACCTGGCTGAACCCCTTTAGTTATAAAAATAAAAATAATAAATTCACAATTTTTTATTAATCTCTCTCTCTCTCTCTCTCTCTCTCTCTCTCTCTCTCTCTCTCTCTCTCTATATATATATATATATATATATATATATATATATATATATATATATATATATATATATATATATGAAGATTTAACTTATTTTTAAAGCATACAAAGCACTTTGAAGAAATACTAATAAAACTAGTAAAATTTGTGGTATTTAGTATATTTGTTCAGGTGCACTGATGCAATACTAAAATATATTTTTGTGTATTTTAATGTATAAAAACTTATATCTACTTCTACAGTATATATATAAACAAACCAGCAGCAATATAAGGACTTTTCCCTGCATAATTCATATCATAGGCATATAGCACATATAGCCAATCCAGTTCTTTGAATCTGAGTCCTACATAAAACACACTTATTAATGTTTCCTTACTGTTTGTCTCCTCCTCAGCTCTGTCTCTCTTCTCCTCTCCCTGTATTTTCTCTACTCTCCTAGTGATGAAAAGTAAATAAACAGCATACTGTAGGTCAACTTGATTATAAGCCTAAAATTATCTGAAACCACACACACACAAATAATACCTCTTCCTGTTTGTCTCTCTCCTCTTCAGGGGCTTTATCTGTCTCTCTCTCTCCTCTTTAGGGGCTTTATCTGTCTCTCTCTCCTCTTCAGGGGCTTTATCTGTCTCTCTCTCTCCTCTTCAGGGGCTTTATCTGTCTCTCTCTCCTCTTCAGGGGCTTTATCTGTCTCTCTCTCTCTGTGTGTGTGCGCGCATGTGCGGATGTACGGGGTAGCTGGGAGGACTGCGTGAGCGTTTGAGCGACTGGCGGCTTGTTTGAGTGAGTTTTCATTCATTTTCATTTCTCTTTCTCTTTTTCTATAGTGAGATTAAAGTTTATCTAGTGAGATCTAGTAACTGAGAACATGCCGGCAGATTCAGATGGGTTTGCTTCTTTAACGGCCCGAAATGGTTGTAAATGTTTACCGGATGAATCAATCACCATTGAGGACTGTTTGACAGCTATAAGCGCAGAAATAGGCGCCAGGAATATATTATCGGCATCCAGAATGAACAAGGCAGTAGTTGTGTTTTTGAAGGAAGAGTCTATGGTTCATCACTTAGTTGAGGCTGGACTGTCTGTTGGGGATACTTTTTTACCTGTGTTACCACTGTCGAGCCCTTCATAAAAGGTAACTCTCTCTAATGTGCCTCCATTCATTTCGAATGAATCACTCGAGCGATTACTTAACCGCTACAGCAAAATTGTGATGCCAATTAAAATGATCCCACTTGGGGTAAAAAACCCAGAATTAAAACACATTATGTCCTTTAGACGCCAAACTGCTATCATTTTGAATGCTGAATTCCAACACTTGGACATCTCTGCGAAGTTGACTCTGGCCGGTAAAGATTACACAATTTTTATCAGCACAGAGTCAATGAAATGCTTCTCCTGTGGGGTTTATGGTCATACGAAATTAAGATGTACAAATAATAAGATGACAAACCAAAATATAAATCCAAATGTAAATGAGACGCAATCGCGGAGCAAGTTGACACGGAAAATGAAAACCAAAATGTCAGTAATAAAACTGACCAACGGGCTGAATCAGATTCATTGTCAAAAGACGATGAAAATCTGAAAGTTGATGCAGCGAATGAGACTGCAGGAGAGTGTTCAGTGAACACTGATGTATGCGCTGAAGTGCGCAGCGCGGTGAGCGGTGGAACCGCTGCTGCTGGAAACAGCGATGAATCAGAGCACCCCGCAGAGCTGAACAGGCTCGGGGTAGTCGGGAAGCCTCGCGACTCGCGAGAGACTGATGGCATGGTACTGGCTGAAGCTGATCAACTGTCCGAGAGTGGTGAGGCTCAGTCCATTGACATTAATTATGATAGTGACGAATCATATGCAATGGATCTTGTTGATGACAATTTAAAAGAAATTCGTGTTGAAAAAAGGCGCAGTTCGCAAATATAGCCATCTTATTACACAGTACAAGAACTCAACAGTTTTCTTGATGAAACCTTTAATCAACGAAGGCCAAAACTAGAGAAGTATTTCCCAGATTTACAACTGTTTGTGGAATCCTGTGCTGTAGCACTGAGAAAAGCATCATTGGATGAGCTTGATAAACTTAAAAGATTCTGATTTAGGAAACATGTCACTACTGTTAAAAAATGATTGATAATTTGGATTGAAAAAAACAAACAAACAGGACTAATGTGTAAGATTATATATTTTGTTTTTTGCATTCTTTTTGCCATGACAACCTTAAACATTGCGACATTTAATGTTAATGGTTGTCGGAGCACTAAAAATAGAGTTGCTTTATTTGATTATTTGCGGCTCAAAAAGGCTGATGTTATTTTCTTACAAGAAACGCATAGAGACCAACAAAATCAGGCGCAGTGGCATAGTGGGTGGAAAGGAAATGTTCTACTAAGCCATAGCACAAACCTAAGTGTTGGTGTTGCCTTTCTTTTTTCCCCATATGTCAGTATGCAATCAAATTCAACAGAAATAATACCCGGTCGGAAATTGAGGGCTGATATTGTCATAGGAGATGCCTATTTCTCTTTTATTAATATATATGCACCAACTGTTGGTCATGACCGTGTTTCTTTCTTTAAAATACTTTCTGATGCCATATTACAGTGTCCTCGGGGGAATATGATTGTACTTGGAGGGGATTTTAATTGCACTATTGATTCACATTTGGACAGAAATCACAACGAACCTCATAATTCTTCTGCTGAGAGTTTAAAAAAAATTAATGAACATAAGTTAGTTGATGTGTGGAGGGAAGCTTTTCCTGGAGTCAGACAGTACACATGGTTAAAAAATAATTCAAATAATTTGTCAGGGGCAAGGCTTGATCGGTTTTATGTTGAAAAGGGCACTAGAGGTAGGTTTTTTAATAGCTCGATTACACCATCCTTTTTGTCTGATCATCACTATGTATCAGTTGTTGTATCAGTCTCTCTTTCTAAGCCTTTTAAATCACATTGGAGTTTTAATAATAGTTTATTGCAGGATTGCACTTTTATTCACTCTTTCAATCTTTTCTGGAAAGCTTGGAGAGAGGAGAGAAGTAATTTTCAGTCTCTGAGTTCATGGTGGGATGTTGGAAAAACACAAATGAAGTCTTTTTGTCAGCAGTACACAGCACATAATGCTGGAATGCTCAAAACAAGAATGAAGTCCCTCGAACAAGCTATACTAGGGCAAAGCAGTGAATGCACCAACAACTCAACTTTTACTGACTCTGTTGCAAATTATAAACTTCTTTTAAAAAATCTATTGGAAGAAAGAGGAAAGGATGTCTTTCTGAGGACCAGGTTTGCACAACTGAATGATATGGATGCTCCCACATCTTTCTGTTTTGGCCTTGAAAAGAAACTAAGGGAACAGAAAAGTCTTCATCAGCTGAAAGTTCCAGGAGGGGGCGTGATAACGGATCAACGGGAGATTCAATCTTATGCCCTTTCATTTTATGAGGATTTATATTGTTCAGAGCTATGTGACGACACAGCAGTCAATTCACTGTTAAAGGAGGTATCAAAATTATCAGAAGAGGAACAAAATGACTTGGATAAGCCTTTGACTTTTGGAGAACTTTTGCAAGCCGTCCAAGAAATGTGTTCAGGGAAGTCTCCTGATCTGGATGGACTTACAGCGGAATTTTTTAAGGCGTTCTGGGAACTATTGGGTCAGGACATGTATGAAGTGTTCTGATGCATTCGTCAAGACACTCTTCCTCTGAGCAGTAGAAGAGATATTCTGACTTTGATCCCAAAAAAAGGAGACCTTGGATGTTTAAAGAACTGGCGGCCAGTATCACTAATATGTGTTGATTTTAAAATATTATCAAAATCTCTGACCAATAGACTTAAGCAATATATGGCCTCAGTTATTCACATGGACCAAACTTTTTGTGTTCCGAAAAGGACAATTTTTGATAATCTATTTTTGATAAGAGATATGATTACTGTGGCAAAAATGCACAACATAGACATTGGTTTCCTTTCCTTGGATCAAGAAAAGGCTTTTGATAGAGTTGATCATCAGTATTTATTTAAAACACTAGAAGCTTTTGGTTTTGGCCCTTATTTTGTGTCCCTCGTTAAGATGTAGTACAATAGAATTTTTAGCATGCTAAAGATAAATGGCTCATTAACCAGACCTTTTCCTGTAACTAGAGGAATACGGCAAGGGTGTCCTCTTTCTGACCTTTTATATGCGATTTCTATTGAACCTTTGTTAATATCACTCAGGAGGCAACTGAGCGGTTTTAATATTCCTAATAACCCTTCAGTCAAACTTACAGCCTATGCTGACGATGTAACAGTAGTTATAAAAGACTCAAAAGATGTTTCAATTTTAACTTCCTCTTTAAATACATATCAGCAAGCCGTATCAGCACGTATTAATTAGGAGAAATGTACATCCTTATTGTTGGGTGACTGGCAGGATGCAGGACCTCCTAGTTTACCTCAGCAATGTAGCTGGGCCAGAGATGGGTTCAGAATCCTTGGGATATATTTTGGGACAAATGAATATACAGATAATAACTGGCAAGGGTTAGCAGATAAGGTAATTTGAAGAATTCTTAAGTGGAGATGGATTCTTCCACACCTCTCGTTTAGGGGGAGATGTCTGGTAATTTATAATTTAGCAGCTTCTATGCTATGGCACAAATTCACTGTTTTGGATCCACCAAAAGAATTACTTTCTGGAGTACAAAAGGCATTTGTTATTTTTTTTTGGGATGGCTACCATTGGCTTCCTCCAGGTGTCCTTTATCTACCTGTGGCAGAGGGTGGTCAAGGGCTAATACACCTATAGTCCAAAATCTTGGCAATGAGGCTACAATCACTACAAAAGCTTTTGTACAATTCTGAACCTGCGCCTTGGGTTGTATTTGGGTCATATATACTGGGGAAAATTGGTGGGTTCGGTCTAGAAAAACTGTTGTTTTTAATGCAGAAGAATCTCTTGGAG